GCCAGGCCTACGAGTTGTTTGGCCTGGCCAAATACCCAGCCTGGCCAAGGTTGACTGGCGAGCAGTTATCTTTGACCCACTGGCAGTACGCTACTCATAAATACATTCTTCGCAGTCGGGCAAATTAGTTAAATTATTTACGCCCACCCCGAGATGCTCGTCAAGGACGAGGCTGCTTGGACCGGGAAGCTTAGTTCAAGGAATCAGAAAGCAGATATGAAAACACCGACAAGCACGTAGCCCTTTGTATCAAACCAAAAATAAGGAAATAAAAATATTAATGCCATTTCCTCGGAATGTATTATTGTAAGTATTGTGTTTTAGTATTACTTAATGAATATAAAGTTTATTTTTCCAATTAATAGGAAAAGGAAGCAAAGAAACTATAATAGCTATATATAATATAATCCTTACTTATTATAAATGTCTCAATCAGTAGCAAATGTTTGACTACGTTGTCATAGATACCTGAAGCCGGTTGTAGTCTAAGCTGTTCCGCTTTATTCGCACACATCCCTGTGCCGATTCTTAGCACATTTACCCATTTTCGCCCTTGGTATTAAAGATATCCTCATTTGATTTTGTGGACCTTCAACGGCCGACGGCTTCATTTATGCCACTCGTGTCTGGCAACCGACAATATAAGTGCGGGAACAACAGTATCGGCGGCGGCAGGAGCAATAATGGAAGTCTGTGCTACGTGCCGCCATCCGAGATATCGTCCTGTGCGTGCCTCGAGGACCAGAAAAAAGAGGAAACTACAACAATGGGACGCCTCTCGAACTGTCGCGCTTGATGCGCTTTTGATAACTTGTTTGAGTTTGCTCTGAGCCGCGTGACATCTTTGTCGCTGTCAACGGCCCTGTCGCTATCAGGTTGATAAATAGTTTCGCCGGCATCTCGACAATCTCCGAGGCTCCGTACCGTACCTTTCTCGAATTTCAACAGCCCTCGAGTTGATTTGAATTAAAAAGCGTCCATCAACAATTTCTTCTGTGGGAAATGCAAGCCGGACTGTGCTGGATTGCCCCAGGCAACAGTTCTTTGAACTTGCTTCCTTTTGCTTGCAGTCAGGTGCTTGAATTCTCAGGCTTCGTCTGCCTCACCGGAGAATGAGCTTTAAAATTTGCCAGCGTTCGGAACAAATAAAGTGAAAACACAAAAATTTCGTCCCACGAAATGATTTTACCCTCAATACGGGCCTGTAATATACTTATCCTTAAGTCTCTCCAAATCTTTTTCCATGATACAAAAGCGAAGTATTTTAGAAAAGGCTGGAAATAAAATAAATTACCTTTGGACAACACTTCTCTTCAAAAACATTTTTTACGCACCAGACAAAAACTTCGAATTATAAAATTTACTTTGGCTTTAGGCTACGTAAATATAAACAAAAATATGCGTAAAATTAACTTTTCCAATCCAATTTACAAAAAAAGGACCTTTTCCGCTCTTTGATAAAAGCAAACCTCGTACTGAAAAACGGTAATATATCCTCGCAGATTTTGAATTTCCCAGATTATTTCAGCCAATTGTTGGCAATAGGAGTTAATTTTCATCGATTTCCGAGTGTTTTAATAGGGTATTGGGTGTCAAGTATATAACGAGCGCCCATCAATGTTTTTGGCGGGGATTTGTCCATAAATAATTCATCGAAACATGTAACAAAAGTGCGTCAAGTGGTCGCACACACACACACACACAAACAGCATTTCACCCACACCGAAGCGCAAGTATTGAATTACATGGGGGGACGCGTCTGTCGCACTTTGCGAAGTGGATGTCTATTTTTTATGGCACCCCAGGGAAATGACGTACTATGAATGTCGGTTTAATACACAAAACTTTGACAATATTGTCACACAGTTAGCACGGATACCATGGCTCACTCCCTATCACGACTAACAGACTTGTAGCCAGACAAATGTGCGAATAAAATTGCTATTTTTGTGCCGCTTGCGTCTATTGTTAGCGAAGTTATACAATCTCTTTACACCCACACACCCGCACAGGAACGAATGGCAAATAAATGGTGGGTATATCAACAAATCGATCATTTTTCCGCAGTTAAGCCGAAATCATTGAGTGGCCGGATATTCGGCCAAGGGCTCCAACACGTTAAGATTTAAAGCAAACAATGCGGTGTGTATCTGTTGCGTGGGCCTACGTCACTGCGAAAACGGCACACGCAAATAAAGTTAAAGGGCGGAAAACTAAGCGAAGACCAAAAATTTACCAAGTAGACGCTCATTCCGGCCCATAAGCCATTCGTTTAGGGGCTTAGTTACTTCGAGCCTCATTGAACAGGCCATCTTTCTCGGCTCGCAAAAGTAGGCAACAGTTGGGAAACAAGCTTGTCGGCCATTGATTAATTACCAAACTTCGCCCAGACATTCGCATTTGCATTAGCAGCTCTTAAATTGAAATCAAAACCATTCCCTGACTGCACAGAGGAAAAATATATTTACTTTGCTGGAGACAAACATTGTAATTTAATAGGCTAATGATCGTATAAAAACAGAGTACAGTTCTAAACACAAATAAAAGATTCGAAGAACTCAATCATAATAAGGCAATTCAAGTATTATCACTCCCTTTTTCTTTATGTGTCTGCGAGATAAATCTAAGGCCCTTTGTTATGACCTCACTTTCGCTTCTTATGCTGTTGTTGAATAAAAGCAGAGTACACAAATAAAATCCTCCGCTCTCCCTCCTCGAACGGTTTTATTTAAGTTTCGCGCTCGTTGTTTTTATTTGCTTTTAATAGGCGGGCCAGGAGTTGTGGCTGGTTGAGAATGGAAACCCGCCTTCGGTGGCAACTTTAGTGGCTGCCACTGTTTGCTTTAACATTGAAAAAGTTTCTTTGCCGCTTTTTTCGCAGGCAGCGGCTCATAAAGCAAACTGGAGACCCCTCTTACCTTTTACTTTCACTCGGGGTTTTCCACCTCCTAGGTGCGAATGAGAAAGGTGGTGAAGGAAAAGTCCGCAAAAGTTTTCCCAACAACAAAAGGTCACTGAACAATTGACAAACTCGGCGTGCTGTTGTCTCGGGGTTCGCCAAACGCCATTTAAAAAGTTTTACATAATAGTTAGCCCAGGATCTTGGCAAGTACCCGTAAACGTAGAGATTTCTCCAATTCCGAAAAAAAATTCCATACACAAACAAACCGGAGTTCTGTGGTAAATATTATATTATACCTACCAACACCGATTTAACAAGGAATTGCAATTGCGTTAGTTCAGATTATCGATAGAGGCTAATTTCTTGCAATTTCTATGTAATGGATGCAGTTTATACCAACCTAACTAACGTGAAGCAAACGTTCCCCTTGGAAAATATAATTTGTTCTTAAGATTAATAATTTCACGAAATATAAATATGTTTTATGATTGAAGTCGCCAATACATATTCTATTACCGACAGATAAAACTTGAATGAGCCAGCTCCACAGTGGTAATCTGTATTCAAAAAAAACGGCAGCTTCGCGGTTTAATAATGTGTGCCCAGTCTGCGTTTCTTTCCTTGTGTGTTTTTTAGTACGTTTTCGCAAATTATTGGTTTTGCCACGGTCGCACTACCAGTTCGTGCACTTTTTGTACGAAAATAAGAAAAACACTCAATTTGCTCTTAGCAAATCAATAATTGCAAACGCAGTGCCGTTTCAATTGCAGCAGAAACAGCGACGAAAATGTTGGCAAGCGAAACCAGACAAATCCTGAGCCGCGTTGGATCGCTGGTGGCCAGAAACCAGGTGAGCGGAGGCGGAAAAGCGGTCCATGGGTTTTTGGCCAGAATTTGTGGGGCGGGGGGCGGCTTTTGGGCCCGTGCAGTAGTTATATAAGGCGGATATCGGGGGTCCGGACGAGATAGAGAAACACAAAACATGCAAGCTGAAGCGTCGTAATTGGGAAAAATTGCCAACAATCATTGGTTGTTATGTAAACGATTTTGCACAAGACGGTTGGATAAAAAATTGATGTAGCGTGATCACCTGTTAAATTCTTAATCCCGGTCTTCTAGCTTCGATCCATTAGCAATGGCACCGCCCAGCTGGAGCAGCAGGCGCAGCCCAAGGAGGCCCAGGAGCCGCAGATCAAGAAGTTCGAGATCTACCGCTGGAACCCGGACAACGCCGGCGAGAAGCCCTATATGCAGACCTACGAGGTGGACCTGCGCGAGTGCGGTCCCATGGTGCTGGACGCCTTGATCAAGATCAAGAACGAGGTGGACCCCACCCTGACCTTCCGACGCTCCTGCCGCGAGGGCATCTGCGGCTCTTGCGCCATGAACATCGGCGGCACCAACACGCTGGCCTGCATCAGCAAGATCGACATCAACACCTCCAAGTCGCTGAAGGTGTACCCTCTGCCCCACATGTATGTGGTGCGCGATCTGGTGCCGGACATGAACAACTTCTACGAGCAGTACCGCAACATTCAGCCATGGCTGCAGCGCAAGTGAGTGGAAGTGATCCTATGAGGAGCTATCAAAACTAATCGCAATATTTCCCTCAGGAACGAGGCTGGCGAGCAGAAGGGCAGGGCCCAATACTTGCAGTCCGTTGAGGACCGCTCCAAGCTGGACGGCCTGTACGAGTGCATCTTGTGCGCCTGTTGCTCCACCTCGTGCCCTTCGTACTGGTGGAACGCCGAGAAGTACCTGGGCCCCGCCGTGCTGATGCAGGCCTACCGCTGGATCATCGACTCGCGCGATGAGAACTCCGCCGAGCGGCTCAGCAAGCTCAAGGATCCCTTCAGCGTCTACCGGTGCCACACGATCATGAACTGCACGCGCACCTGCCCCAAGGGTCTCAATCCCGGCCGGGCCATCGCTGAGATCAAGAAACTGCTCTCGGGTCTGGCTTCCAAGCCGGCACCCAAGCTGGAGACAGCGGCGCTGCACAAGTAGGGCCCTCCCGAAAATCCCAAATCGTCCTCTGATGTCCTTGGCTAGTGAGCAAAGCCCCCGCAAATTTGTAGTGGAGACTTCTCCAGCCACCTTGCTTACTATGTTTTAATTTATTTAAGCCTAAAGTATCCGACACTTGTTACAGTTTGTAAAGGGAACAAGACGCGAAAATAAATAATTGTGTATCCACCAAACGGAGAGCATTATAAATCCAAGTACGGCGAGCGTAAATAATGCTAACCCGTATTCAGGGAGCTGTGGGCGAAGTCTCGTCGTTCATCTGTATGTCGTCGGCGGAGTAAAAGTCCTGGGTGACCGGAATGACGCGATCGTTGGTCTCGTCGTCCTCCTCATCGTGACTATCGGTGTCCTCGCTGTCGTCGTTGGCTGGACAAAAAGGGATAGGTGGTTCAACTGCTAATCCCAGAAATTTTCTTCACCACTTACCATCCTCGTCGTCGGTTTCTATTCCAGGAATGGTGAGCATCTTGCCTAGCGGCTGCAGGTCTGTTCCTGCCGTTTTGAGTGACTCCCGCTGCAGGTGAAGTAAAAATATTAAAAGTTATTGAGAAATCGAGGGTTCTGAAGAAACTCACCCAATTGCTGCGCTCGTCTTCGTATCTACGAGTTTGCGCTTCTTCGCTGACGGAGGCAGGAGCCATGTCCAACCAGTACCGATTTGCCACGGATACCTTGAGCGTGGGAAAAAAAGGAATCATAGACATTTCGCGGAATATTTAATCTGCAGTTTCCAATTTTTGTTATTGTTAGCCCGGACGCCAGTGCCACGATCTGGCAACGCCACAACAATAGGTGGAATAACACCAAATGCCACAGGGGCGTACCTAAAAGAGGGATTAACGTGAAAGAATGATAATTAAGTTGGATAGTTTTATTTTATTTGTAGCAGTTATCATTATTTTTACTAATATCCTTTTAAATTCAAATATGTATATTCTTAAGGCAAGACAAGACTACGAGTCGTAGTCTACGACTGTTCATTTTAGGTATTATCTACATATATTTGAAATCATTAGCAAATTTAAATGAAAAATTCAATATTTAATATTCATCGTTAACTTTACTGAGGTATCAAAAACTTTTCAAACAACAATTCTTTTTTAATTTTCCCATTTCTTTGTGAACAGATTTAGTTAGGCCCCTTTTACCTTACTATGCCTACCCCTGTGAAATAATAACATAACCATAAGGTACTTTATTTGAAAATTCATATATGTATTTATCAAAGAAGCTATAAAATTTGGACATCTACGGTAAAGAAACCCTTCCCTCGCAAATTTATTGGTAGTAGAGTTCTAGATTCATGCCATCGTGGATTTCATCTAAAAAAGTTGATAAAGAGATTCAATTAGAGAATAGAGTTTAAGTTTTGGAAATAATTAGTATTACAGTCGGATAGACGAATGGGATCCTTGTAGATTGTGTACCACTTTTTAAGGACAATCTTCTCGTGCTTTGTGCCCGTTTGTGCCGCTATGAGTTTCTTGAGGTCGCCGATTGTGTCGTCGGGATTGCACTTAACGCGGACCTGCGTATTAGAAGTTGGATTAATAAGTTTATTGTCGGTTGCCTTCAGGCACACATTACCTTTTTGCCAAGACGATCATTACACGTTATTTCTATCATATTTGATGATTTTGCAAAGGAAATGGCAACAAAACACCTCTTGATTTGTTGTGGTTTTTTGGTTGAAATATGCTTCAGAGTTGTCAAGTATTCCAAGGTTAATATCGACAGGTTTGAGTCGCGGCTTAAGTTATATTGCAATCGAAAACAAATACCGTGTACGCGATTAGTGTTTACATATTTGTTGCTTAATTTAACATAATTTAATTACACACCATAAACAATTTATACAAATGGTTCCAAAGAAAAATCCCATATTTGAAGTGCGCAGGCTGACTTAATTTGTGCTTAGTTTTTGGGCTGTAATAAAACAAAAATTAAATTGCTCAGTTAATTTAATTTAAAAATAAGGGTTCAAAGAAGTCATAATTTCTAGAAGATTTTTAAGACGTTTCTGCATACGCTTCAACAACATCAACTTTAGTTCGACTTCGACTACTTCTCGCTAGAAAATATTTGGAAAAGGTTTATAATTATTAAATAGTGCACTTTGTATTCTGTGTGGTTGTTGATAAATGTTGATATTTTCTGGTAATTGGAATTTTGTCGATCTGATTACAAGTCGTTTACATCAAGTTCGCTCTTTAATAGCAATTCGCATCAACATTTTGAAGTGGCTGCGTGGAGGACGACTACGACGGGCCTTCCCACCAGCACCTATCGATAATCGTGTTAAGCAATCGACTATTTAAACATCGATAAGAAATAAAAGCCTCAATGTGTCCCCCTCCACTATTTATTCGAAATTTTTCGCCGCTCGGGAAAGACGTGATTTGTCGTTGCGCCAGTGGAGGCTATTTTTAAAACCGTCGCGGCGCTTGCAAACAAACCGCATATACAGTAAAATAAATCCAAGGAATTTACTGAGAAAGAACGAGAAATATTATAAAGTATGTGCCTTATTTATTTGCGAGCTGGCCAAATACTTTGCATTACCCAGTCGTAATTGTGTGTGTGTGTATGTTTGTGTGTGTGCGTGCTTCAATTTTACAGCTACGTTATGACGCAGCTGCGGAAAACTTGTTTGGGTTTCCATTTCACCGAAACACCAAATGTTTGCGCCTGTGCTGCGAACCCATTTTGGGCAATCCACTTCTATTGATTACCGCGCGTTGTTTGTGAATGGCGTGGCTAGCCAGAGCACCCTGTACCTCCTCCCCGCCCCATGAAAACTATGCTCAAAAGGTCGGGCGTCGTTTTCGGCGATTCTCCCCCATTGAATCGGCCAAACAGTCCACCAGTATTTCCATGGTCACTGGCAAGCAATTCGCAATCCGAAAATGCTCCGTCCTATTTTTAGATGCGGTCTTTATGCGCTGCCTACTTACCTCCCCATTGCATTCTAATTAAAAACCGGGCACTGCGCTCATTTCCACACGCATCGCACATTGCATAATGCGGCATTATGTTGGGAGGAAAGCTCGATCCAAAAAGCACTCGAGCATTAAAGTAAAAAGTAAAGTGAAGCCCATTAATGTTTTCCAGCTACCCAATTGTAAACAATCCACGCCTAGTACGCACACACTCGCACGCTCACGGTCACAGACACAGACGGGTTTAATGTTTATTCCAAATAAATCGAGGCCCATGTTAATTATTCGTGTTCTTCGCAGGGCCCAAGCACTTTGTGTAGTATCTAATCATGAGCGGAGATACGTACCAGATAGAAACGCGTCGGCGGTCGCGTTCCAAGACCCCCTTCTTGAGGTCGAGCGATGCCGGAGAGGAGGGACATGTGCAACACCCCAAGAAGAAGTCGGCGGCCCCCAATGTGCAGTAAGTGTCTGGGACTAAATCCCGAAATAGAATAAGATACGAACCCCTAAAACTCGAACTCCTAACTGCCAGGAACCTACAGAAGTAGCTAAATTTATATGGGTTATGAGGAAGTCAAAATATGTTTCTGGACACGTGAGACAAGAGATGTTAATAAAACAATCGCGTCAAAATACAGTGAACAGCTTAAACCCGAAATACCATCTGCTATTAACAGATTTTAAGTTGGCTGATTAATATTTGCAACCAAGAATCTCTAAGATTAAGAAATTTAAATAAAGATTTCCAAAACCTTTGCAAATTTGCAAAACTCGAAACATCGTCAAGACATTTCGTAACTACTTCTATAGAAATCTGAAAGGGAAGTTCTACTGTAAAGCAACACACATTCATAGTGTCGGTCTGTACGCTGCGTGTTTGCTGCCATGACGTCATCTCCTTGTTATTCACATTCGGCGCGATTTTCAATTTCGAAACGGGCAGAAAACGAAGGCAAATCCACATACAGGGTGCGGTATTCCGTCGAGCTTCGTTGGATTTTGGCGCCGAATTCAAGAGAGCGTCTGATCAGCGCGACACTTTTGATGACGACATTCCGAGTTCCACAGCGACCATCACAGATTCGTTTTCACGTTTTAGCCACAAAAACGAGCATGGCTAACAGGCAGTAGCCAGTGAAGGTCAACGTCGTTTCTAAGCATATTTTTGTATTTTTGTTTTGATTCGCTGTACTGGCAGTTGGAAAAGATTTCGAGCACGTTATCGGGGGCTTACTCACTAACATATTTCCACCCAATCTTATTGACGACTATCTACATCCCTTGCTTTCAGAACGATAGTGGAGGAGCATATAGTGGAATCAAGCAGCAGTAAGCAGTCCCGGAGTAAGGCGTTCGCCCAGTTGACCTCGGACTACTCGAGCGACGACATGACCCCGGAGGCCAAACGCAAGCACACCTCGTCCACGACCACGGTCACGTCCACCTTCACCAAGCGATCGGGAGGAGCCACATCGACGCCGCGGAACAGAAGCCAGCTGGAGACCACACAGAACACGCTGAACTCCGCCCAGGAGAAGCTGAATCACTCCAACGGAAACCTTAGTTCGGGGAATGTCAGCGATTACCTGGCCTACATCGAATACAGGGATGCCGGCGAGTACTGGAAGTGAGTGGAATATCCTTAATCCTTGGAGCCCAACCGAATAATTTTTTTTCTTCCAGCAAAACTCCCAAGACGGACTACACCTACTCGGAGCTGTCCCCCCCACCGCCGCCAATTGGCCCCGGGCATCGTGGCCATGCCCAACATGTCCAGGCGGAGCCTAGGAAACCACGACGAGCGCGTTAACTACATGGTCCAGCAGAATCCCGACCAGGAGGAGTTCATTCGGCGTCGCTACCAGTCAAAGTATGTCCAGCACGCGAACTACGACTCCGCAGACGAACTGGACGCCACCTTTGGGCAGCAGCAGAAGCAGAGCTGGTGGCTTATCCGCCTAATCCAGCTGGTTGTCAGCTCCGTCACCACCGTGTGGACTCGAGTGACCCACATCTCGGCCACCGAGACGAATGCCTACCAAAACTACTACGCTAGGCGTCAGGAGGTCGGATTCCTGGGAAAAGTAAGCAATGCCGTTGGAGGAGGATTCGCGAGTTTGCTGCGCTATTTGTACATCTTCATTGGATCGGTTCTGAGTCTGGACACGTGGTTGCTGCGCTCCTCGGATGCGGATAACAAGTCGAAAAAGCGGTTCCTCATATTTTTGCTGATTTTGCTGCCTTTGCTGCTGCTGGCGGGTGAGTAGATCTAAAAAGCAACGTCCGATTTACAACGATGTAAAGTAAAATATGTTCGATCGTGTGCGTGACCTTGTTTCGGTTCGACAACTTATGCTATATGCAAATAGATCACCTTCAGTGGGGTTATTTATACTCTGATCTGGTCGTTGACAGTGGCGTGACGCCATCGCTTATTCGTTTGCTAAATCCCGCGGATCAGAATTTAGTGGCCACGTGATGACATATTTTATTTTACTTTCGCCATCTGCTGAGGACCAACGCCTAATTTGCTTTGCCTTTGCAGGTCTGTTCTATTACATACACCCCAATGAACCTTTCCCACCCAAATCCCTGACCGAATACACATTCACCCTACCTGAGTTGCCCAAGATCAACGTTAGCGACTACCTGAACCAGGCCCAGTATGAATCGCTGCGCTCCCAGGCCGCCGAGCAGGCGGTGCGCGTGCGGGACTGGGCCGATGACTATGTTTTGTATCTAAGAACCATTGGCCAGAACGTGGTCAACAAGGGGCGCCAGCTCTTTCAGGCCGACGATCAGGTCTATTATGAGCGCGTGTAGGGAACACCTGGAGCAAGGAGGCTACCGTTTGGTGGTCGAACTGCTGCAGCAGTTGCTAATTTGATAGGATCTTGTTGAGAGGCCAACTCTCCTTTCATGTCGACAGACATGAGAAACTTTCTTTATGAACAATTCAAGTACAAACTAAAGCATTTTGTCCGAGTTACGTCCGCCTGCAGGGCTCGAAACGTTCTTAACTATCGTATAGTTTTTCGTCCCCCCCATTTACCCTTGCGCCTAGACAAAAACTCTACATTTATCCCACCAACCACACTAACCCCCACAATTCCCAACAAAATGCAACATCACAGGCTGATGGGAGAAGGATAGAGCTCGCCGCTGTTTGAATTGCAGATTTTTTTGTAATCATTTACGTAAACTTAATTTTTGTCCAACAATTAGAAGGGCCTTTATCCGACTGGGTGAATGGCCTAACTAAATTTACTTGTTGTCAAACAACGTTTAATTGTAATTTGTTCACTGTTTGCTTTGTAATTGTCTACAAAAAATAAATCGCAAACAATTTCATACAAAACATCGAGTACAAAAAGATTAGTTTGTTTTATTTGCCATTTGTTGGAAGTTCGCTAAATGGTAAGTAAATCGTAAACAAGCAATATTAGTTGGCCAGGACCGAACTCTATCCTTCTGCATTTATGTTGGAATTACCCCCAAAAAAAAACGAGTTCCCCCTTACCTAAGTCTACTTAATATTCGCAGTTGTGGGGAAATGGAAATGTAGAAGGACTGCCAACTAATAGTGCTGTGTTTGGTTTTTTCTTCGGCCAGGATGGTTGTTGTTACAGGAGGATCAACGCATTGCTTATGTTCAGCGAGCCGAAGCCCTTTTGCCGCTGCCACTCGCGCTCTTCGGTTCCCTGCAAAGTCGTTTGTCCAGTGCTGGATCATCCCTAAAGAGTTGGATCGAGATGCCCTCCATCAGAAGTGCCCAGCAGGAAGCCGACGCCATCAAAATCAACATGGAGAGCATCGAGAGCAATATAAAGAAAGCCTTGACTGCAGAAGAATACGAGAACATATTGAACCATGTCAACAGCTACGTGCAGCAGTTGGTGGAACTGAAAATGCAGCAGCAATCGAAGCAACTACAGCCGCAACAGGTTCAACTCATTGTTCAGCTGATGAAGGAGAACCTGCAGCAGATTTCACAGAAAACCCAGCTAACCGAGGAGGATTTGGCTGATCTGGCTGTTAAGCTGAAACTGGAGCTACAGAAGTCTGGATGGCAGGATATGGCAAAACTATCGCAAGCTAACCTGGAGGAGATCACGAGCCTCATTAAATCAGAGCTTCACTTGCACGAATCGCACTTCACAATTCAACTGGAGAAAATAGATATGCACGCCCTGCTGGAACGAATCTTGTTGGCTCCGCAACTGGCTGATTTTGTAGACGCTCGCATTAGTCTTCGGGTGCAGCAGCTTGAGCCGAAAGAAAGCTCCGGCTCCAATCCCGCAGAAATCCACATAGATCGTCTGAACAAGGAGATCGCCTTCATCAAGTTGGCTCTCTCCGACAAGCAGGCGGAGAACGCCGATTTGCACCAGTCGATCAGCCAGCTGAAGCTCGGCCAGGAGGATCTGCTTGAGCGCATGCAGCAGCACGAGCTGGCCCAGGATCGTCGCTTCAGCGGGCTGCTGGCCGAGATCGAAACCAAGCTGGCTGCGCTCAACGACTCGCAGTTTGCTCTTCTCAACAAACAGATCAAGCTCTCGCTGGTCGAAATTCTGGGCTTCAAACAATCCACCGCTGGCGGGGCCGCTGCCCAATTGGATGACGTTGACCTGCAGAACTGGGTGCGCAGTATGTTCGTGGCCAAGGACTACCTGGAGCAGCAGCTGCTGGAGCTGAACAAGCGCACTAACAATAACATCCGCGACGAGATCGAGCGCTCTAGCATACTGCTGATGAGCGACATCAGCGAGCGGCTCAAGCGGGAGATGCTCCTGGTCGTGGAGGCGAAGCACAACGAGAGCACCAAGGCGCTGAAGGGCCACATTCGAGAGGAGGAGGTGCGCCAGATAGTCAAGACGGTGCTGGCCATTTACGATGCCGACAAGACGGGTCTGGTGGACTTCGCTCTGGAATCGGCGGGCGGCCAGATTCTCTCCACGCGCTGCACCGAGAGCTACCAGACGAAATCGGCGCAGATTTCGGTGTTCGGGATCCCTCTCTGGTATCCCACGAACACGCCGCGGGTGGCCATCTCGCCCAACGTGCAGCCAGGGGAGTGCTGGGCCTTCCAGGGATTCCCCGGATTCCTAGGCAAGTCGCAAGTTGTTTCCCACACTAAAGAAAGTTCTTATAGTTCTCATCCCCACAGTGCTAAAGCTTAACTCGTTGGTGTACGTCACTGGCTTCACCCTGGAACACATACCAAAGAGCCTGTCCCCCACTGGAAGGATAGACTCGGCTCCCCGCAACTTCACAGTTTGGGTAAGAGTAAATCACCTTTAAAACAAGCAGTAACAGCCTAACCTAATTGTTGGATTATTCAGGGACTGGAGCAAGAAAAGGACCAGGAACCGGTGTTGTTCGGGGAGTATCAGTTCGAGGACAACGGCGCCTCCCTCCAGTACTTTGCTGTTCAGAACCTGGACATCAAACGGCCGTACGAGATCGTCGAACTGCGCATCGAGACGAACCACGGCCAGCCCACCTACACGTGTCTCTATCGGTTTCGAGTGCACGGCAAACCGCCAGCGACATAGATCTGTCCAACCCCCTCTCTAGTGACCTAAGTACTGTCAGGTGTACATAATGTCTGTGCCTTAAAAAGGAAACTCAACAATATATCACTGCGAGAAGTGGATCAACTGCACCCAGCCGCCCTTAACTTATGCAAACTACGTAAGAAGTAAGGCTATAGCTTTTAAGTGTTTTGTACCATATCGTAGGATTGAAGTGTTTATTACGAAATAAGGTTAATTTGTAAATATCTAAGTTAATCCAATCCTTTGTCCAAAGGAAGTCCTGAATATTTATTGATATTTAGTTTGTCCTTTAAAAATCAATCATCGTTCCTTTAAGTCTCATCTACTACGTATTTTTAATTTTAATACGTTTGCCATTCAAAAGCGTTTTGAACTAAATAGTCATAGTTTGCGTAAGCCGCACTCTTGCTTCAAAGCTATACTTTAAGATATTAGTAAGCTAAAATGTTTTACCATGAAAACTTCCGAACCTATTATAATTGCCATAGCGAATTAAATTTAACTGAACTGGAATCCCTCTGAAATAGTGTCAAATAAAACTGAAACTCACTAAATATCTCAGATATCTATCGAATGAACCTGCACATACCTCACCCCATACAATAAATCCAATTCACCCTTTCTTAACTCGTCGTATACGTTCAACATAGTTCTAAAGAGTGAACCCAAAAATAGTTGATAACATAAATTATGTACTTTTCTATTGTTTTGCTCGTAAGTCTACTTAATTGGTATAGTTTGTCTTTACGTCGTTTGTTCATTAAGCCTTCATCCCATTTTTTAAACAATAAATGCGTTGCTCGGAATAATAAAAACGTTTTCTTAGTTAAAAAGGAAGGCAAAAAAATTCTGTCAAAGCCATGGCAAGTAATTAACCCACGCTATCCGGTCGCAGTAATTAGCTTTTTTCACTACACTGAAAAATTTGTAAAAGGAGTGCAGAAAGATTAAATCCGCCGAAGCTGCTGCCATTTGCAACTTTTGATGCTTAAAGTTGACTTTCAACTTTAAATTGCAAATCGGGAGGTCTTTAAGATTGAATAAAATGTAATTTGCATTATACTACATTTTGCTCTCAACTGCAGATCCTTATGATTTGCTGACAAGCTGAATGCCATTGTTAAGCCGATTTGGCAGAAGTGATGAGACAGGACTTGTCTCCATCTGATAAGTTTATTAAGTGCATTTCTGTTGCAGATCTTTTGCTGGGGTAATTTAATACGAAAATACCTTTGGAGCTGTTGACTCCGCAAGGATATGTCATTTCGTCTAGGGTTAATGTACATTGTAATTTGTTGTGCGAGGAAATTCCGGGCGCGGGCAGCACAAAGGATTTCATATTGAAGCACAAGCAAGGCATGCACTTAATTAAAGCCAGCTTTCTGACGGAGGCGAAAAGGGCTGACGAATTTATCTGGCGGCAGCTTGCATAGTGCGATTCAGCCAAAGGTACATCGTGCCAATGTATAAAATTTCACCAGGCCATTAGGCGAATGCCTCTACGGAAGGACCTGCACCAAAACAGGATTCTTGCATGTCAATGCTTTGTGCGTCCTCGTTTGAGTCTGAATTAAAGGCATTGCTGGCGCGCTTTGCGTAATTACGGGGAATGCCCCTGCCAACGGCAACACACACGCATTACCTTTAATTGCCACTGGGGCCCGAAACTTTTAATTCTGTCGGCCGTAACTTCACCATATTCATTTCGCACCTGCTCGGTGTTAGAAAAGAAATGGCAGCACGCTTAATTTGTTTACACAAATCTTTCTCAAATGGCAGCCAGCCACCCACCACCGACGGTTGAATCCCCAGCGGGGGAATAAAAAATTGAAACAACTTTGAGTACTCGCACTCTGACTGCGAAACTTTCGTCCTGCGAGTGTGTAACAATTAAACTGCAGCTAAAAATAGTGACTAATGAGAAAAGTTTCCAGCAGCGGCTGTAAAAAATAAAAGCAGCCCAACTAACTTCCCCGAACAAAATGGAGCCGAGCAGAGAGTTTAAGTTGCCAGCAACTTTTTTCTATTCTGTATTGAATTTGCTGGCGTGTCGGGGCACAATTTGCAGGCATTAATGGCGGGATCAGCCAGCTGAAGTGTGCCAGCCATAAAGGGAGTTGCAATCCAGCCGAGACAATAAAACTCAAGCCATCATATCACACTTTTATCCCCCGGCCACACGGAAACTTCGAGGAAAGTTTTCGGCTTGGTTTGATAAGGAAATTCTTACTCTACAATTTACGATAGCGTGCAAAAAGATGCTTTGCTGATGTGTACACTCAAAAAAGGATTTTTGGTTTACTCAGAAATAAACTGGGGACCTAGAAACCGTTATCAAGTTTCCGGTTGTTTGGATTCGGAAACTGCTCTGTTTTCTATTATTTTATTTTTCAAACCTTAATTTCTATTTCAAGAAATTTAATTCTCTTGATTGACTTTTCTTGGAACTTGATAGGATCGTTGTTATGAATATTTTGTTGATATAAAACTCTGATATTAAAATGAAATACAAATGACATAAGTATCTCTGTTTAAAACGGTTAATTAACTAGCCACTACCGAATATGAGTTGACAAAATATTTTATAAAGCGCAAGACAAAACAATTAGTAGAAGGTGAGAATACTTTTGCTAATAGCTTCGGCTAGCTTTATGCAGTTAAATCCTGTCAAAATCGACCACACATTGAGCTTGGTGTAGTCTTCGGGACCTGGCCAAAACGATTGGTTATCTGCAAGTGCACGAAAACATGCGATGGGTAAGTAAATCTGCCTTGGTGCTCCGAAACAACGTTTATGGCCGTTCGGAGAGACGGATACGGCGAAAGTTGCTTTGGACCGCACTGTATATATGATATGAAGTGACACTGGACTGGCGGGCGCCGCAAACCGATTACCCGTACAGTGAAAACCAAAGTCACGACCGCAGTCAGTTCGGCATTAGATATGCGCATACATTGAGCGGCTCGGAAAAGTTTTGTTTGCCATGCAAATCTGTTTGCGATGTGTATGGAGTGCGGCTAACGCTTAGTTAGAGACACTTGTGTGACTTGTTGGCGTAATTAAATTTATCTGAGGCGGGCGGGAAGCTGTACGGACGAAGCCACACACAGCAGCCAGTGCCAGGACAATAACTATTTAGCAATCCGTTATGCACACATTTTGATAACTTTCAATTTGATTCCACTCTGCGGCGACATGCTCGCTCAGCAGGAGGAAGTGCCCGGAGGAAGTGTTTTGCTTTGTGGCCGTAATGAAATAAACTTGTCGCACAGTCGGCACAGGCCATTTGCCTGATGTCCTGTTTCTGTTTCCCGAAACTACAGTACATCCGCAGGAGAGGCCCGGGGTCAAAGTTCGGCAGCAGCTGCTGCTGCGCCACTCTCATTGGAAATTTAATTACGCATGGGACTTGTTTACAGATCCGAAGTTAAGCCTTGCTGCCAGTCGGACGTGCACATTAACCTTAATTAAGTGACAAACAATCCTCCTCGCTGGCCCCGAGTTCGTCACGCCATCATTTTATTTACAGACAATTGAATTTTAATAGGATTTCGCCTTTGCAAAAATCCCTGCCACTTCCCGACTTAGCAGCACCGTCACCATTACCATCACCATCGCCATCACCATCGGCATCCTTGTGGCTCGAGTCCTGGCCCCTTTTCCCGAGCGGTCGAGTGTCCATTTGCATAGCTCCCGGCTCCTGGCGCAACTCTTTGGCCTGCCGGCCATTATTTCGCACTTTTGTGTAATTTAATTCATTTGCAATGCCTTTGCGAATTATGCGGAAGGGCGGTTTACTCTGCCATTTGCCATTTGCCATTTGGCCTGCCCTGCCCTGCCCTGCCTCGAACTGTGTGTCCTTTCGGCGCACAGTATTTGGCCTTAAAGTCCTTTTGCGGCCACGGGCCACAGAAACCCTAAAAGCCACAAGCCACTTTCGTGATCCTTCATCGGAGTCATCTTAACGCATCATTTAAGCCGGCAAGGGCGGTCCTTTCCCCGAAACAGACCGAAAACAGGGTCAGATAACGTTTCGCCTTTGTTGCTCTTAATTAAAGATTAAACGTGCTAAGTTGCCGGGACTTTTGGCAGAAAGTCGCCGCTTTAATATCGGCCATTGCTCGCTCGGATGTGTTTTTTAGAGGGTGTGTCTGCGGTGTGTGAGTGCTCGGTCCACCCATGCACCCATCCATCCAACCATCCATCCATCCATCAATCAATCAATTACGCTTGGAAGTGCGCCAGGATAATAAAACGTGCAAGAAGCGGAGTTTTGTCAGCACAATTTACGATCAACTTGGCAGAAAAGCGTATTACGAATTTATGTATCGAAGAAATATTCTTCACGAGCGTTTAGTGCAAGTGCATTTCCCAATAATCCCCAAATACAAGTTGGCAGAAAGTATTTTATTTCCAGCTTATCAACGCCAGGCTTTAAAATTTCTTTCTTGGCAGATATGTTTTTTGCACAAACGTGGCCATGTAAAAGGAAACTGCTTTAAAAAGTTGACTGTGGAGCAGAGTATTGAATTTAAGTTCGACGAAAATGAGAACTCTGTAGCTGTCGATTGAATATTACTTATTAGGTAGATGCAATCCTTCAAAATATATTTACCATCACACACTTTCTGCAAATTTGTATTTGAATTAAAAGCAATTTTCTTAATAGACCGATTTTCATAGGAGTCAAATTTTTTAAAATGGAAATTTTTACAAAACTTAATATCATAATTTGGCATAGTGATATTAGTTAATTGCCTTTTTAAAATGTTTATTACAAAAATTCAAGTATTATTTAACAGGAATATCAAAAGAGGCAATCTTCCCACTTTTGTTTTTCTGTTTATCAGATCAAACTTCGAGATCATGGAATATTGGGATTGAAAATGTAGATTGAGTGCGAAATACTGTTTGGCACCCATCGATTTCATTTGAAATGGGTATCTGAAAGTCGAGGTTACAGTTAAGGTTTTTGACAGATTGTATTGTTGTATTGTTCTTTACCTCGCATTTGATTTTTAACATTTATGTTGGAGAAGAGCTCATTCTTCGTGCGATTTCATGCAAACTACATACAAATTAATTCAGTTTGGAACCTGCGAAATTGCCGGCCATTGTTTGATTGCTGTAAATGCCGCACTAAGCTGGCAAAGCAATTATTTACCTAAATGGTTTGCCCACGTCAATGGCAATTGTCTGCGATTTCCATTTGGCTGAAATGTGTTGCATGCAGGCTGTCAGAAGGGCTGCCAGTGGCACCCGAACAATGAAATCTGGCTAAAAGGCCGAACGGCTGCCGAGGAGGCCAGTTGGGCGCTGCAACAAAGGGAGGATAAGGCAAACTTTTTAATTGAAAACCAACAAAAATATAACGTCAAAAGTTGCAAGTGGTTGACACTTCGCACCCGGACCACCCAGTCCACCCAGTCCAGGAAGAGTAAACGAAACGAAATGAATCCTTTTCAGCAGCCGTTGCCAGGCAGCCAGTGCTTAAAGCCGAACACACACATCCGCGTATAGTATGTATGCACGCAGTGTGTGGCAAGGAGTCCATTGGTCTTTAACAAGGATCAGAGCTATTGCCACATCGTTATGATGGACCCAAACAGGCGTCTCACAGGAAGGAATGTGTATTTAAATTTAAGATATAAGAGTGCGCTGGCTGGCCACGATGCACTTGTGACGGACGAACTGCTCTGGGATCGGGATTGCAATTGCAATTGCGATTGCGATTGCTGTTGACACAATTCCGCAGCGAGCTCCTCCCATTGCGATTTATTTACGTCGCTGCAATTTATCGAAGTT